TGCTTTTCAAGTATTTTGATATAACCCAATCTATTTAATTTATCACTTACTTTTACTAATGGACCTAATCCTTTACCCAAAAAACATCCCCATACTATTATTTCTTCACCTTCAAATTTTACTGTTGGAACCATATTTTCAATATCATATTTTATATCAAAAGTTCTCCAACATGACCAGGACCATCATTTTTGAATATTGTAAATTTACTTTTATCACTTCATATAATAGTTTTTCATTTTTGAACAGTTCAATCTTTTTTTTCAATGCACCATTTTAGATGATTTTCTTTTTGTTGATCATTTAAAAGTAGTTTTTGAGCTGGTATACAAGAAAAATTATTTATTTTATGCAAATTTCTTCTAATTGTCTTGGTAGAAACTTCAATATTGATTTTTTCAATAAATTTATTTCTAATTTGTTCTGCAGATTTCTTGTTATTTTTTTTAACAATTTTTTTTAAAATGATTTTGTCTTTAAAAGTCAATAGTTTTGAATGTCCAGTTTTAGGAAGAGTAGTAAGATTGTTTCTATTAAGATAATTTTTAATTGTATAAGAAACAGTTGTTCTATGAATTTTAAGAAGTTTTGAAATTTTTGATAAGAATTATTTATCTTTATAAAGACCTATAATTTCATCACATTGACTTTTAGTTAAATAATACATTTTTGAAATTAAAAATACTGAAAGGATAGATATATTTATATTTAATTTAATGTTTACTTATTGAAAAAACACGAAAATTATACACGTGTTTTTTTAAAATATAAACAATAATATATTAAAATTTTAAATAAAGTTATAAGTACATTTTTATATAATAATAAATTTAAAATATATAATACTTTTGTTCATGTAGTGTATGTTAACAATTAAAGAACTTAATAGACTCTGATTTTCTTATAATCAAACAAGAAACTCTTTTGAAATATAATCTTTATTATTATAGATTTTATTGTTTATTTAATTTAGTTTCAGTTTTAATTATTTTATTATATTTTATTTTCAAATTTATAAAAAAACTTCATAAAATTTTCTGAATAAATAGGTATAGTTGTTATTTAGATACAGTCAATATATAGTATTATTTTAAATTTTTTTTTCAATATTAACTAAATATATATATATGCAAGCTAATATTTAACTTGTTACTTTTTATACATAAAAGATATTATTATGATATATATTTTGTTATATATAAATTAAATAAAAAAATAATATTCATATGTAGGAAAAATCCAAAAAAAACAAAATTATTAGATTTAATATTTGTTTTAATATAATTTTTATTTATATTTTTATCTTAATAATATTCATTATATTATTTAAAAAAATTTATAATCTTTTTTAATTACAAAAACTAAAAATAATTTATTTTTTTTAATTAATTAATATTTAACAACATTTAATTAAAATTTGTTATATTATTAATATTAAAATCAATTTAAATCAATTTTTTTTTCTGGTAGGTAAATATCATTTCTTTATTTATTGATATTATATTTAAAGTTATAAATACTTGTAAAAGAAACAACATCTCTTGAATATAAAAAGTATATAACAAGTTAAATGTTAACTTGTCTATATATTTATATCTAATTAATATCAAAAAGAATTTAAAACAATATTATATATGCTAAATATAGCTGAGAGAAGCTATGCTTACTTATTCAAAATTTTTTGATTAAATATAAAATGAATAGAAAATAAAAGAAAATTAAAAAGAAAAAAAAACTGGAGCTATAATAACAATGACTACTAAAACTAAAACTGAATTACTTAGACTATAAGATTTATGTAAACAAAAGAATATCTAAAAAGTGATCAATAGACCAGCCCTTGTACTGGTGCTAGTCTTAAAGACATGACCTTTATTAATATAAATAGTAGAGTATAGTTGATATTGTTTGTTGTTATGATAGTTATTATTGTTATTATATTAAAAAACTGGTTTAAATAGATTTGATTTTTTCTTTATTGTTTTGATGAAATCTAATTTGATGATTGGAGAGTAATGATTATCTGGAGAGGGTAAACTGACTTCAGTTTTTTGAAAATTTTGAAATGGTGCAGTAAATAGTGCTATGATAAAATTATATATAAATATTGTATTAAAACAAACAATTGATCCAATAATATTATTTAAGTATATTTTTTGAAAAGTGTTTAATTTAGCAAGTGTAATAGTATTGATATAGATAGTTTTTGTAATATAATAAAAGAAAGGAGAGATGCAAGAGAACAAAAGAAAAGAAAACTGCTACAGGCCTTTCCTTATGTAACCTAAGAATAAGCAAGACTTTCAAACTTGAGTAGACTTCAACCAGATGTCACATTCTACTATACCAGTTGTCTTGAAGGTTCTTGAGTTCTTGAGCTAGGGCTCACTTACAATAAAGAGTATAAAATATTTTTTCTTGCTTAAAATTACTATAAAAGGAAAATTTTTAACAAAATGGATGCAATCAGATAAGAGTTTTTTGTGTTTTTCAATTTAAACTAATTTATCAATATAATAATAATAATAATAATAATAATAATAATAACTATAATAATAAACAATATTATCTATATCTTTTATTTGTTTTAATCAAAGCTATATTAACAAGTTATAAAAAACCAATAAAATAAAACACTAAATTAATTTAAAAATTCTTTTAAAAATACAAACTTTTTTTATATAGATTTATTATTATTATTTATTATTACTTATTTTTATATTTTAAAAATTTTTTTAAATAAGTAGATATAATTATAATTTAATATATATTAAATAATGAATATTGTTTAAAAAAATTTTTTAACATTAATTAAATATAGCATATATAAGCAAATTAGTATTAAACTTATATAATATATATGTAACAATACTATTGACAAAGTGAGTAACACAAGATGTGTTACACAAGTGGCATGATAAAAAAAGCAACATTCTAGAAATACAATGATCTACTCTATAGCTTTCTAAAATATCTGAAACTTAATATATTATATATCAAGTTTCAATAAATTTATGTTAAACAATAAATATAATATTTACTTATCCAATTTCAAGTTATTAAGTGAGAAAAGATATTCACAATAATATAATAAGTATCTATAGTTTAATATGATATAATAAATATACTATGTCAACCTGATTATAGGTTAAAAAAAAATCAATTAAATTTATTATAAAAATTTAACCTTTTTTAATAATAATAAAAAGCCTTTATTTCTTAAAAATAATAATACAATTGTTTAAATAAAATATGTATTTAAATAAGAAATGCTGTACTTAGAATAAAACTTAAACAATATACAGTAGAACCTGTCTATAGTCATGCTGTTGGACCAATAGTAATTTTTTTAGGCTTTTTATTATTTATTCTTATATACGAGTTGATTATAGACAGGTTCTAATGTATTAATGTTTTTATTGATAAATAGGTTTATTAAACAACAAATAAATGAACCAATATAATTAAGTTCTAATATAACTATTTTGGGTACACCTTGAAAACTACGAAGCCTTAAAATAGTTTCCAGAGATTTTATTCAGATTTTAATATTGATATCAGAATTTTAAATTTCGGTAACCAAAAAGAACTCTATTAAGATACATCATTGCGTATCCATTTTACACTTGCGATCGCAGTTTAACCTTCATATCATTGAAGAAAAAAGCTTGATGATACGCCTACAAAATACTCTACATTTCGTAAATGGTGAAAAGGAGACTTGAATTCATAAAATTTTACGAAAATATATAGGTGTTATTATCTTAAAGATACCGAATAGAATTATTTCTCCTGTAATATTTTTTTTTTTCATTTCATAATTTTCGTTGTAACTTGTTTTTTAAAAATAAATTTCTACATCCTACCTATAATTATATTTTTATTCGACTTTCAATAATTCATTTAATTCCTTTATTATTGTTAATTTCGGTTGGATTTCTAACATATCAAATTTTATACTCGAGCTCAACAATAAATCTCAAAAAACCAATCAGTATTAGTCCTATGGAGAATAAGGTTAGATAATTTAGAAAAAAAAAAAACCAAACAAAATATAAACTTTAGAACATTTTATACACACCCATAATTTTATCAATCCATCCCAACTACAGGTGGCTACCTTTGATGTTTCGTGAGGGTGCCATTCGCACCCAATCACAACATTATCATGAGCTTTATATTTTCTAAGGATAAAAAATTTAATAATTATATGTACATAATAAGAAATAATATTAATAAAATAAATAAAATAAAATAAAAAATCTACTCACTTGAGCATTTTGCAGGATTTCCAATCCTAAATAATTATTATTATGGTTAATTATACGCACCACGTAAAAACTGAAACGTATGAATCTATCTAAAAGCTTACCCAATACCAAATATTTCCTTCGGAATCTCCTGACATAATAAATCTGCCATCTGGTGAAAAGTTGACCTGACATGCATATCCAGCAACCAAATGTCCAGTAAATCGTTTCTTGCGATGAATACGAAACCTATCCTTGGCACCATAAACAACGATTTGGTTATCCAATGATTGACAAGCCAACCATTTTTCTATGAAAAGAAATTATTATTACATGCGAATTATTTTTAACCAAAAATTTTTAATCAGAATAATAATTACTATTTGGGTGCAGCGTAACTGCAGGCATACTGTGCATATGCGGTTCGGCAATATATTTGATCACCACAGGTATGTCAAATTCCCATGCCCTTAGTGTTTTATCATCAGAAGTTGTAACAAATCTTCGATTTTCGTCCACAAATGTTATAGTATTTACAGCACCCAAATGCTGGTCATATTCTTGCGTTACTTCACCAGTGTTTACATCAAACTATCATATAAAGTCAGGAATTATGAAATCAGCATAGAGATATTAATCATTACTCGGCACACAGAATATATACCTGCACTATTTTCTTATCTGAACAACCAGCCAAAAATATATGTTGTTTGTCCTCATCAGGGTTGAATTTGACAACATACGCAATTTTACCGGTGGTGAACGACTTGATACATTGACCTAAATATAAAAATTTATACACATCTAGTAAAAATGATTGAATTCACAAAAGAATAAAAGTTTTATATTTATCATACCGGTTTCGGTATCCCATAACTTGATGTATTTGTCATAGCTTGCAGTCAGAAATCGCTTTCCATCATTACTGAATGTTACATCTCTGACTGCTTTATTATGCCCAATATAAGTTCTTAGACAATTACGGTCATTATATACATCCCAGATCTATATAAAGTGAAAATTTCATGAATAAAATATTTTTATTGAATTGAAAACAAAATTAAGTACCTTGACTTTGGAATCCATACTAGCAGACAATATTAAATGCGCTGATTTAGGAAAAAATCTTATAGCAGATACACCCTTAGTATGACCTGACCTAAAAAATTAAATTAAATAAGTATGTTGAAGTTTCAACAAAAGAAAATATCCGCAGATGAAAGTACCATGTGTGGATACAACGCTTAGGAATAAAACATTCTTGTGTGCCAGGCTCTCCCAACAGATTAACATCCAAATCCATTGGAACGTGCATATACGTTCTACCTTGGTAATCATATTCAGATTTTCCTATAAATTCAGGTATAATAAAAGGATTACTGTATGGACCAATAATAAAAGATCTCTTGACATTATGTACATACCATGAAATATTGTTTTTTCCTGTCCGACATCAATTTGTTTTTTATTCGTTGTTTCTGTATCCGATTTTTTACGCATTAAACCCTAAATATTAAAATCCGATTAAAATTTACTAGAAATTTTTATATAAAGAAGGTAATTTAAAGCAAACCTCAGGAGGGCCGACAGCATTCCCAATGTTCTCGCCTTCATAACCTGCCCAGGGTCCTTGATAAGAATCATCACCTTCCAGCATTGCAGAGTCACCTTTTGGCTTTCTTTTTGGCATATCTGCTGGTTTAGGTGTTGAGTCATAAATCGTAGCCCCATTTAAAGCTATAGCTTTCTCGATGTTCCCAACGAATCCCGTTCCGCCTACTCCATTGAAGGGAGTGATAAGTGAAGGATCAGCCGCGTATCCAAACGAGGTAAAGGTGCGTTGCTGTGTCCTAAAATCGAATTCGGAAAACGCCTGTTCTTCTATATGGCCGGTAAGAACATTTTGATTCATTACTCTCGTATTAAATGGATTACTGGGTCCAACAACCGGTCGGATTAAATCATCATAGGGGATGTTTATGGCGATTTGTGTGTCGGTTGGTTTCGTGTAAATGGAAGTTAAAAGTTTCGGATCCTAGATGAGAATTCAACCATATCAGATCAAATAGTTGTTCCTTTGTAAATAAGACGAACAGTTTAAAAGAAACTAGATCAGAATGTGTCTATTTATAAATGTACGCATATTATCCTAAGGAAGGCTTTCTGATCGTCTTAATGGCAACGAAATTAATGTACAAACCTCAAGACTGACATGAGGTGCTAAGTCAATTTTTGATCGTTTTGTGATTTGTGTTGAATCGTTATTGGCGTCGGCTCGTTTCAAGTTAATTTTTTCAGCCGCTTCATCTTCACTCGAACCGTATTCATTTGCTAAAAGATCCATTCCCAGTTTTTTGTGGTGGTTTTAGTTGTAATTTCTTAACGTTAATTCTCAATAAATTAAAAATAGATCGCCAGATCTACATGTGACCACAAAAATATATTAATTATATATAGATAAATACAGTAAATGTCGGAATTAAATATTGAGCCATCTAATCTAAGTTTTATATTTTTTGAATTCAAAATTTGAATTTATTAATGTTTTAAATATTTGTAATGCCTATGAAAGTTGCTATTTCAGTAAATATATTTCTATTGGTTCCGCAATATTTCTAAGCTGTAATTTCAGCTTTTATATTTAATATTCAAACTTTCAGATCTGGAGTTCTTTGTGAAATTAGTGTTCAACATTCCGCGTTCAATTCGTTTTCCGATAGCCGTTTTAAATCGGCTAAGACGCTTGAAATATGTTGAAGGCTTCGAAGTTGTTCATTCTTAATTTGATTAAAATCATTGTATGTCGTTTCTCGCGCAGAATTATATTCTTGTTGACAACGATCATACCTACATGAAATCAGAAGCTTTTAGTTTGAAATGCTTGATCAACAATCGAGAATCTTATTTAAAAATTAATATGTACTGAATTTGAATTTCTTGACGTTTTTGTTTCCATTCAACGTAAGCGGACGCGCCCTCTGACCGCAAATAGCACACCCTTTGTTCGAAAGCTGCGCATCGCTTAGCTAACGAATCAGCTTCGTTTTGTTCAAGCTGGTAAGAAAGTATTTTTAATCCATTATATTTTTAAGCATGATTTAATTTCAGATTCGTAAATTTTCATACGTACCTGCTTTATCTCTTCAAATTGCTGTGCGAGTATATTCTTATTTTCATCCAATGTTTTCAAATCCATCTCTTTTTCTGCAATATCATCACATAGACGATGAATTTCTTCACTGATTTGGTTCATCTGCTCCTGTATTTTATCGTACTCGCAATTGAAATTTTCTCGAACCTCTGAAAGCTTAACCTTAACAATTCCAACATGTGTTAGACAAGAGACAATCGTAAAACAAAACTAAATATCACATACCCTGACAAAATTTCTAAGATCTAAGGAAATCACTTTATCTATTCGATCGGCGTCCGTGTCAAGTGACAATTCATAGTCTTTTCCATCGGCATATTGCGCACTTGATGGAAGCAGGCCAACACGATAAAGACTAGTATTATAATATTGGATTTGCTTTTCAATCTAAAAATAACAACAGCAATTACCATCTACTTGATTAATAAACTCGTATATGTTTCTTGGTAATATAAATAAACAATACCTCGGAAATCTTTTTCTCTAATTCTAATCCTTTTTCCCATTGTATTTTTGCAAGTTCTTTCATCTTTGCGGCAATAGAATTACGATTGTTGGTTATTTGTTCACTTTCTTTGTGCATCCTCTCGACATCATCCGGAGATATTGGTTGATTGTCAACTTTTTGTTGAATTTCAGCCTTTTCCTCTTCGATTTTCGCCAATTCGCTCTCTGAAAATAACAATAGTTCATTATCAATATAAATGATAGGTTTTTTCGTTGAAACGATTGGAATACACCAATTAACAGTCCTCACCAGCTCCTCGATGCTGCTCTTCTAATCTGGAGATGGAATCTTTGAGTTTGTTTATTTTGTCTTCCAAATGCTTCGTATAAGCATTAAACTTGCCCATATCCGAAAGCAATGTTTTGTTCTCGTTTTGGACAGTAGTCAATGGGTCCTATAAATAACAGGATAAATTTTTATATTACAATTGAGAATATTTATATAATCTACCTGTCTTTACCTCATTCATTTCACTCAATTCTTTTTCAAGCGTGTCAACATTCTTTTGTAACTCAGCAGTTTGATTCACAATTTCTGCATTGCTTTGTTCTATTTAAATAGGTTGAAAATTATATGTTGTAACGAAGGCAACATTTTGATAAAATTATTTTCAATTATTACCATAAGCAGTATCCAATTCTTCTGCCATTTCTGTATAATCATCTTCGCCCTCTAAGAACACATTGTAAGCTTTAGTGATATAGGTAAAAAATGCCGTGTCAGGGTTAAATGGTGATGGCTCCTCTTCAGCCTCTTTTTCTAATTGGTCAATGATCTCCCAAGTCTAACACACGAAAACGAACTAATCTTAATATCTCGAATTATAATTAATTGTTTTAAATAAAATTTCGTGCTTACTGCAACAAATTCCACTAGCCATCTTAGTGCACCTAAAAGATTTGGTTCAGTTTGTTATTTTTCTTCTTATTATTCAATTAAAAGTAAAGACATACCAAGAAGGTTTGGCCATGTTTGCACGTTCCCGACCGCTTGCAATGAAGATTTCGAAATTTCATGAGCATAAGGATACCTATTAATAATCATTTGTTTCTTAACAAGTATTCGCCGAAGTACTTTTTAATCGTTTTAAACACGCACACACGCACTTTATCCATCTTAAGACATTTACTATTTCTTCTATTTTGGTTATATCTTTCCCAGGATCAAGCCGTTGAAATACAAATTTGAAAATTGCATGATATTCTTTTGCCGTCGGCATTTGAAACAATCTTTCGTCGACTATATACTTATACTCGGCTTCATTCAAATAATCGGCAATTATTTTTATAGACTCTATTTGATATTGCTTCTCACGAATCGGCCTGATATCCTTAGGTAGATTACTCGCATTTCCTCCTCCTTGTTGTGCATTTGATTGTGAAACACCGCCGAATAAACTTGTTCGCCTAAATACAATAATATGAATTCTCACGAAATTTAATCCTTTCCTAACGCTTAACAATATATTCTTTTAGTTGAGACCTATTCACCTATTCACTCTCGGTGTTCGGGTGGCTCGACCCGCCAGCGTAACGCGACGTTGTGCCAAAGCCGAATTTTGAATATGGTCCATTATTTAACAAATCTAACGTTGGAAATAATGCAATTTTACGAGTGACGAAACGTGATGCGATTGTTAAAAATACGTGTCTACATCACGTGCCCAATTATCAAATAAATATGATTTACGCACAGTCAAACCTTTTTATATCGATATGACTGGTATATAAAATTTTATTATTAATTATGAGTGGTTTTGAGAAAAATATTGGTATAGTGAGATTTTAATAGGTATCGGTATAAAAATATCAGTATAAAGAGGTTTAATTATATATTTAAATTTCAATATTAAATTCATATATAAAATTATTATTTTTTATATATTTAAAAATGCACTGTAAAATTAGTGAACTCTCAAATACTGATTTGTCGATTATTTTATTTTTGATTTGATTGAAATTAATATAAATGTAACAGACCAACATAATATAATGTTTGGTTTTCTTTTCGATACATCAAATTTTATATTCAAGAAAAAACAACTATCATTACTCAAAATGTACTATGTATATATACGTTAGAATGTAAGATACACTTCTATGTCATCGGCTAATGTGTTTTTATTACAAAAGTTATAATAACATCTTAATTTTTTTTCGCAAAGTCATACGAGAAATAATATTTAGTGTGAAAATTCAAAAAAATAAAATAGGTTGTAAAGCCGAAGCAAGAAATTCTTAATTTGAGAGGTAAGCATCAAGACTCGGGCAGATTAACATTTTCGATTATGACGCCACTAAAATAATAATTACGAGAATAAATTTCACGAAATTTTTGGAAACAGACATTGAATCAACAGATTATCAAAGACTTACTGTAATTATTAATTTCCAATTCATCCGGAAGTGGAGTGATGTTCACCTCGAAACGCTCTTGAACCTTGTTTAAGATTTCAGCGTCCTCGGTATTTGACACAAAGGTGATTGCGGCTCCTTTTGTTCCAAATCTACCAGCACGACCGACCTATATATATTTTTTGGTCAATACGTTTTAAATTAAATTTCAAAATTAAAAACTCGTAGGTGAAAGAAAAGGTTACTCTGTGTAGGTATGTATCTGGACCATCAGGCATGTCGTAATTAATGACGATATTTACACGTTCGATATCAATGCCGCGGCCAAATACATCTGTGGCAACCATTATTCGTTTTTGAAAGTCCTTGAAAGCTTTATATTTAGCAATTCTGTAAAGAAATAAAGATTAATAATAGAAAATTATGAATATAAATGTCAAAAGCTTGATTTATAACATACCTATCGGTTTGGGTCATACCACCGTGAATACAAATACTCGGAAAATTGCAATCACAGAGAAGTTTGTTTAATTCGTTTGCTCGTGAAACGGATTTTACAAATATACACACTTGATTAAATTCAAGTGTATCCAAGAGGTCATTTAATTTTCGGTTCTTGGCAGATTCATTTAACTTTAGGAAATACTGTTGTAGGCCGTGTAGTGTGAGCTTTGTTTCGTTATCAACGTAAATTTCAAGAGGCTATCGGTTCAAAACCAGTCAGCGTATAAAGTCTTTCAATGATTTCTTTTCTATAAACATGAACTTTAACTCACATTTTGCATAAATTTCTTGCAAATTGGTCTGATTTCTTTACTAAGAGTGGCACTAAACATCATAACTTGCTTGTTATGAGGAGTTTTTCGAAAGATTGCTTGGACATCACGTCTCATGTCTGTAATATAAAAGAGCATTAAATGAAAATAATAAAATGTGCATAATTCCATAAATCAACAGATTGAATGTTATTTACCAAGTTGATCTAGCATTTTGTCACATTCATCAAGTACAAAATGCTTGACGCTCCCAGCCTTAAGGTGCCCTTCGTTCACCAAGGCCAAAACCCTTCCAGGTGTACCAACCACAATATGTGGAACGGTATCTTTGTTTGAGAACTTTTTTTGATCATCCTTAACTATAGTTCCGCCAAAGAAGACGTCAATCTTAATCTCAGGCATATACTTGCTGAATCGAGTATACTCGTTTCTAATTTGATAGGCCAGCTCACGAGTATGGCAAAGTACAATGACCGAGACTTCACCAGCAACAGGTTCAACTTGTTGAAGGGTAGCTAATACAAAGACGGCAGTCTTCCCCATTCCAGATTTCGCTTGGCACAAAACATCCATGCCAAGAATGGACTGAGGAATACATTCTTGTTGAACTGTTCGATGAATTTAATAAAAGCAATAATAAATATTAGACTCTTATATTAACAAAATTTCTTTCTTATATACCAACCTTCAGATGGATGTTCAAAACCGCAATCAACAATAGAACGCAATAACTCGGGCTTCAACAAGAAATCTCGAAAGCCGGTAGAATGAATACCGACATAACTTCCCTTTTTGTCTTTTTTATCTTCCTCGGGGGCATCTTGGTTATTATTAGCAGGTTGTTGGGTGGGGGCGACTTCAGTGGGAATATTCTCGTCTTCTTCGTCGTAGTCGATCAAATCGTCTTGTTCAATCATTTTAAGTACTTTCAAATGTGGTAAAACTTGATTGTAGATGGGTTACAGTTGATCGTCACCACGTGAATGAAGAGATTTTGGTGGCAGAGGATTTAGTAACTTGGAGGCATTTAATCGTTTCCCCTGACACCGAACCAAAAAAAAAAAAAAAAAGCTTTCCGCCGCATTCTGCTGCTCTTTGCTCAGTTCTCTTTCAATCTTCAATAAAGAACCAATTCACTATTTGTCGAGATGTCCTTCTAACCGTGAACAATGACCATGTGTTTCATAATTGGATAGCTTGCACGTGCGTCAGAAATTTAAATCTAACGAATCTTTTCCAAATCCAAAAGAATGCCGAAATATCACCGGATAAAGGTCCAAGACATGTATCCGATGAGAGATCCCAAATAATTTTCACAACTCGCCGTGGCGCAGCAAATACATTTTTCTTACAGTCCGTTTTTTTACTTGTAAAGTAGTTTACAATTTTGAGTGGCTTTATTGGTCAAACCACAGGATCGGAGAGCTAACGAGAGCTTTTAAAAGCGAGCAGAAATGTCGGCAGCGGAAGTTTCGGCCTTCTCATCTCCCGTTCTTACAGGGACGACATACCTTTGGATTACTTTGAAAACTTTAATAGATATTGTATGCGAATAATTTAAGGTTTAAAATAGTTTTTTTGAAAGCTTCCTCAAAGATAGATATGTAATATTTTTTTGAGAAAAAACGGGAGAAGGAAAGACGAGATGAGAAAAGAATTGATGAGGATAGCTGTCATTTTGTAGCACACGGAGAATTTGCTGCGGTCCTACTGAAGGTTTGACTAATATAGTAATATATGTTTTCATTTATCTTTTTTATAATGTAATTAAAAAAATATATTTTTTTTTATTTTATAAAATATTTTAAATTTTTCAATATTTCAATCTTATACTATTATTTATATTTTTATTAAATTTTTTATTTTTTGATTTGTTTTTTTATTAACATATTATAAATAGATTTTTTAACTTTATAAAATTATAGATTAAAACAAACCAAATTTTTTTTAATTTTTAATATTATATAAAAAAAATAAAATAAAATAATTATTGTTTATTATTTTTATAAAAATTTTTTATAAAATATTAATTATAAATATATTAAAAATATTAAATAAAATTATAAGTATTTAATCTATTAATAATTTTAAATAATTTAAAAATTTATTTAAAAATATAAAAAATAAATTTAATTTATTAATAATAGTTTTGAAAATTCAATTATATTGGAGAATTTTTAAGTTTTAATAAACATAAAAATAATATTTTATTATTATAAAAAATTTTTATTCTAAAAATATTTTTATAAAATTAATTATATATTTTAAATGTATTATTAATTATTATAATAAAAATTAAATTAAATATTAAAAACCCTTTAATTTTTTAAAAAATAAAGATTTTAAAAATATTAATAAAAAATTTTTAATAAAAAAAAATCAACAATATTTTTTGCCAGTACTGTATATATGATTTTTCATTAAGTTATCATAATAAAAATTTGTTATATTTAATTTTTATTATTTAAAAAAATCAAATTTAAAATTCGAGTATAAAAAATAAAAAAAATTATTGTTATATAAAAATATTATATTTCTATCAATTTTTATATAATAACTTTTTGATATAATAAATATGTAATTTAATAAGTTTATAACATAATATACTGTATAAGCTATGTTGAAATATATATATATATATATTAAAAAAAATGTAGGCTTGTTCTTTATAAAAGATATTAAAAAGTATGATACATTTAATAAAAACCCGATAATTTTAGCATATTAAACCAATATTTGCTTATATACAATAAATCAAAATTACGCTCATCGAAATGTCAGAAATTAAATGATGACTTCCTTGTTAGGTATATGTTTGTCCACTATGCTTCGCACCATCAAACTTACTTTTTTACCTTCAATTAAATTTATTAAAGCGAAACGAATCTAGGACGATCACGTGCCGAGTTTTGGTACTTTTTTATCTATTTAATATCAAAGCTGGACTGTCTAACAGCTTCATCATAGCTGGGCAGCGTTTCATCGTGATCATTGTGACTTTCTAAGAAATTGTTGTTAGTCGGATCAATTCCCAATATATTATTATATCTAATACTGGCGCCTGATGTTTCGGCATAATCAGAAGAGAAAGATTCATCTTCGTGTTTAAAACTTTCAAATGGAGGTGCTGTAGGCAAAGGAAGACTTGACGATGTCGACGTATGATTACTTATTCCCAACACGGATTCAAATATTCTTTTTCTTTCATTCATCAGTTCTTGTCTTTTCTTAAAGAACGCCTCGTGCATTTGACTATAAATTTTAGTGAGTTTGGTGACGTTTTCTTGTAGCCAAACATGCACGTTGTCCAAATCTCGGGAATATTCCGAGTGCTTATTGAGTGAGCCCTCAATCTTTGCTGAGTACACATCAAAGAAATAAAAAATTAGATAAATGTTGTTCAAGTAATAAAATAAGTTCAATAACGACATGATGTTAAAAGATATTTACATCTAATATGTATATCCATGAATAAATTATCATACATAAAATTTGAAACAAATTTTTCTTGAGTTAGGTTCAGTTCCCCAACACGTGAAGCTTCTGGTATACATTGTTTTGCTTTGTCTATTTGTTCTTGAGTTTGTTTTGAATAATTTCGAGCATCTATATTTATCGTTGGAAAGACTCAGTGACGTATTTAAATAAAAACAGAAGATTATTGCAATTTACCTTTCAATGCTTTAAACTCGAAGAAATTAGCGATGGTACTATTTGAAAATAGGTCCCATGAGTTGTATTTAAGAGCATTACGCAAACACTCGATTGCTTCATGAAGTTTTGGTTTTGCACTTTCAATGTATTCTATAGCCTTCTTATAGCGATTTAAGTCAGAATCCACCTGATTAAATTGTGCGTATAGCGAATTTGCTTCCTCTTCCAATGCATCTTCGGATGGAAATTCCGGTGTTATGCCCGTAAATACTGAGTCGTAGAGTTGATATAGTTTGGATCGAAGCGTGTCTAGTTGTTGCTTTTTACTAAATAACATTTTGTTCTAAAATTAAAATTTATTTAATGAGACGCCACATATATTATAGGAATTGCACATATTTATAATAAGTACCGTTTGAGTAGCCTCATCCAACTCATTTTCCAACTTTGTAAGTAATGCCTTTTCTTCTTGTCCCTTCTCAAATATTGTTGAATAATTCATTTCTTCATTTTGGAAGGTTAATGTTGCAAATAATTTCTTGATCGCAAAGTTTATTCCTTCAAATTCCTTACTTTAACAAAGTATGCAAATTAATGAGAATAAACCATTTTGAAAGGATTTTTCGCGAGTAACTCACATTTTTTTTCTGATTTTTTCCAAATCGTCTCGTTTCGTTTGGACTTTCTTTTGCAAATCTTCATAATATTCTGTCTGAGAAGGTAATTGTTTTTCAACCCATTCGATTTCTGATATGCTTGACGACAATTGTAGAAACTGCGAAGAAGCTGCTTTTATTTTTGCAGAAGCCATGATTTACCAAAAATAAAATTTTACAAGTAATGGTTCCCGATGAAATTATACTTTATAAGGCTATAATTCATTTTACGTAGAAAGTTTTGAATTATGTATTGTTAATTCTAAATACAATAACTCTATTTATTAAAATTAAATAATGTACTGTATTTATTTTATTTTTAAGTAGGTAAATATTATTTCTTTTATTTATTTATATATTGCAAGATATACAGTATGGTGTAAAAAAATAACAATTATATATATATATATTTTTTTTTAGAGTAGGTAAACACCATTTCTTTATTTATTCGTATATTACAAGATATACATTTGGAAAGAAACAACATCTCTTACATACAATTAGCAGTAAGTTTAATGCTAGCCTGCCTACAGTAATTATTTAACTTCTACTAGAAAAGACATTTTAAAACTAGTA